GTAACAGCTGCCCTGCGCCTTCCTCCCCTCAGAACGTGGGGCTGACCCTGAGGAAGCTCATTGGGAGTGTGGATGATCTCTTGCCCTCCTTGCCATCATCTTCGAGGACAGAGGTAGGTGTCCTATCCTAGATGGTGTCGAATCTGTCACTTCTCCCCGTACCTCCACCTGTTCCTAGTCGCATTTCTAGCAGAGGCCCCTGGGCCACCTGGGCAGCCCCATTTCTGTCCATCAGGAGACTGCACAGCATGTGTGGGCAGCCACCACCAGAGGGCCTGGCCAGCTTCTGGGGTGAATTTCCTATCCGGGTCTCAGATTGCCATGAATTCTCATTGAATGCGGATGTGCAAGAGGGCACGCCTGCCTCCCCTCCCCACCCTTTATCCTTTATCTACTCACTGGACCGAGGTCAAGGTGAATGTGTCATTGAAATCCTGAGTTGTCAATGAAGCCTTGGGAATCCCAGTGTCCTGCTGACACAGCCCTGTGATGGCCATCAGGGACCTAGCCTGATCCCTGGGACCTGTGAACGCATTATCTTACAAAGCTAAAGGGGGTTGGGGGATGTGATCAGTGTGAGTCTCTGGAGAGGGGAGATTATGGGGATTACCCAAGTGGGCCTGTGTCCTTATTAGTGGGCAGCGGGGGGAAGGTCAGAGAAGGGCTGTGATGACAGAAACCAAAGGTGTAGCTTCAACATGGGGAAAGGCAGGGAACACCCTGCCCAGCTCTAGAAGGAACGCAGTCCAGTCTGCACCTTGGTGTTAGCCCCGTTGGGCCCGATCAGAAGTCTGACCTGCAGAACTGTCAGGGAATGACCCATGCTGCTCGGAGCTGCTGGGTTTGTGGTCATTTGTTACTGCAGCTGTAAGAAACTGATCCAGGGCCACTGGACATTTGTCGATTGTCCGTCTGGAAACCAAACGTGGACCTCCCATGGAGCCCTGGGATCCTCTGCCTCTCGCCGCCGTCAGCCATCCACCACATGATCCATGTGGCATGTGGCCCATCCCATCACCACCCTAACCATCTGCCTGCTCAAGGCAAGACAGTGCAGGGACACCTGGGACATTTCTCAACCTGCCTCTGGGTGGCAGCAGTAGCCCACAGAGGAGCCCCAGCTAGGCAGGTACCACCAGAGGGCTGAGGATGGCCACCAGGGACCTAGCCAGCTTCAGGGCCAATTTCCTGAGGGGAGGTCAGATGTGATGTGATAGCTCCCTATCTTAGGGATGACCATGTACTCACTCACTCATTCAACAAACATCTCTTGTGTTTCATGGGCTCAGTGTGTTAGGCTCTGGGAATTGGTGGTTAAAAAAAAAAAATCCCAGATCTCTTGATTTGACAGTAGACAGTTACAAAAGGGCACAGGCCCGTGGACCCTGACCGTTCACTTGAATGCTGGTGGCGTGAAGGGTTGTTACTGTGACCGGATGGCGTATGGGGCTGGGTCAGGCCATGCTCACACATGATTGGCTAGGGATGCCCACTCCAATCTGTATGGGGGGCTGGATTCAGCCAGGCCTAGACCCACCTTGTCCCCAGGGACTTCTGACTACCTCAGCCAATACCCTTCCCCACCGCCAAGCGCCCCACCGCTCTGTGTGCTCTCCCTACAGATTGAGGGGACCCAGAAGCTGCTCAACAAGGACCTGGCAGACCTCATCAACAAGATGCGGCTGGCGCAGCAGAATGCCGTGACCTCCCTGAGTGAGGAGTGCAAGCGACAGATGCTCACGGCCTCCCACACCCTCGCCGTGGACGCCAAGAACCTGCTGGATGCCGTGGACCAGGCCAAGGTCCTGGCCAATCTGGCCCACCCGCCTGCAGAGTGACCTAGGGTGGGGGCCACCCGCCTGCGTCTTCCACCCCCACCCGTCATGCACCTCCCCTGCCTTGCCTTTGGTCACGTGGTCTTCTCAGGGAAGGCCCGGGTGAGGGGTCCTTCCCTCACCACTTTGCACGACCCCCTCCCCGCCCCACCCCAGACTGTGCTGTTCAGGCTGCAGCTGGATGGAGGGGACTCTGGATATGGACGCAGGGTGGGTGTGACACACATGGTTCAGAGGTCACTGTTGCCGCCAGCTACTCCTCCCACCCCAGCCTGGGTGCTGGAGCCTCATTGGGGTCACAATGGTGTCCCTAGCAGCCAAAATGGCTTATGCATGGACATGGCAGGCCCATATGGGAGCCAAGCTATTTCTTCTCCTTCCTCTTCAGCCCTCGGGGATCCCCTGATGCACAGAGGGGCCAGGGAAGGGCCTTATTTGCGGGGGTCAGGAGGCTTGTAAGATGGGGGATGGGCTGGCTTTCTTGTACAGTGTATATTCAAATTTATTTAATGTGAGTTTGGTCTGGACCGACAGCTGGGTTCCCTCCTGATGGGGAATCTGGGACACAGTCCAAGAACAAACTGATTGGGAATTCTGGCACAGGACACTGTGTTGTTATCACACCAAGTATCAGGGGAAGGAGCAGAGAGACATCGGCCAGGACTGGACTTTGGACCACAATCTGCTCTCTCCCTGGCAACCTCCTCTCTTTCTCCCTTTACTTCCCTGCCTTTTCTTACTCGTCCTCTTCTCCCCACCCCTCTTTTCTCATCTGATCCCTTCCTTTCTCAAGTGTTTGTGTTGAGCCTTCTTTTACCTTCTTTCTATCAGATTTGTGGTTGAATTAAACTCGTACCATTTGCTTTGTGGTTTGTTGGACTGTGGTGTTGGTTTGATGTGCCCTTTGTGGGAGGAGGCTGGCCATGAACCACAGCCCAGCAAGAGATGGATGGTGTGGTTCTTGGGTGCAGATCAAGGGCTGATTGACGCTGGGCCGTGGCCAAGGAAAGCGCCTGGCAGTGGGACAGGTGTGCTCCAGCCCTTTTGCCCCAACTGAACGATAGGGTGCCTGACTCAGGGGCCACTTTCCAGGAGGGACCCAGGGCAGTTTCGTCCATGTGGCATCCCTCTTCCAGCTGCACCCAGACCACTTGGGCTTTGGGGGGGTCACACAGCTGAAGGAGCAGCAGACTTGGCTTTATTTAACCACTTTACTCACATGCAAGATGGATGGACAGGAGACATGAACAACACAGGGAATGTCCCTGCAGCAGGAGATCACCTCTGGGAGCCTCAGGTAGACAGAGAGACAGTGGGGGCAGGGAAGGGGGCTACTACATTCACAGGAGTAGGGAGGAGCGAGGACAGAGGGCCACTGAGTGGGGGTCTCAGAGAGAACTGAGGAGCAGGGCCTGGGCCAGGGTCACAGGTAGGTAGGTCTTTCCAGATGTGTGATGGAGTGTTGTGTGCTAAGGAGGAGGAGGTTCAGAAGGGTAGGACCCCAAGACAGAAGGAAGTCAGCAGTTTGCCCTACTCTGCTTCCTGCCCGAGGCTCCACACTGTCTGCACAGCCTGGTGTACACCTCTGGTGGCTGCTGAGGTCCTGCCCTCAGGGGCTGGACAGAGCTCAGGAGAGGCTTGACCCATGGGGCTCCGCATTCCTCAGAGCAAGAACAAGCTGCACAGAATGGCCCAGAGCAGGTCAGACATGGCCAGGCTCTGGGAGGACAGGAAAGGCAGGCTGGAGGGACACCCCCAGGGCATTGGCATCACCCAGCAGGCGTGGAGCCCAAAACGTTCAGTGTTTCCCCTCCACCACGCACAACATAGAGTGCCCGTGCCCCTCACCCTGTGCTGTGCTAGGTCCTAGGGAGGAGAAACTAAAGGGTCCCTGGCTGGGAGGAGCTCAGAACTGAAGGAGCTTGAAGCAGAGATCCCCAGCTCCAGAGAGGTGTGCTGACCGCAGACTACAGGGACCAGGGCACTGCGGAAGAACAGCCAGCGATGGCCTTCCCGGTTTGTTCACTGCAGGTTCATGGGCACACGGCGCCCACAGCGGCGGCTCTCCGTTCTGGCTGCCTCTTTGCAAGGAAGAGGGAGGCACGATGCCTCAGGGAAGCCCAGGGGGTGCTGAAGGTGCTTTGGGTGGAGGGGAAGGCCCAGCTCCACCGGCCCCCCACACACCTGCTCCCTGCTCCCTCTGTAAAGTCCCTTGTTCCTCGACTGCTACACCACACACCTCCAAGCCCTGCAAACTCACACTGAACTGCTTCCTCAGCCTGGTTTAAAGAGCCCAACCTGGGGGTTCCCCTGGGAATTTTGGGCTCATTCCTAAATCTAGACCATTGCTCATAGCCCCTCCACCCCCGAGGCAGCCTCCCCTTCCCCCATGTGCCCCTCCCTCAAGGCCATATTGTTTCTCCTTGTGCTAGTCCCACCCCTCTGCAGGCCAGAGTCCTCCTTCTATTCTAGCTCCTCTGCTTCCTAAACTGGGCTTTCTGACCAGCAGATTCCCAGTCCTAGGTGCAGTAGCGCCACAGCCAGTGGCCCAGAAAGACCTTCAGAGTGGTGCTCTCCCCCCAGAAGCACCGCAGGCAGATGGCGCTGGCCCCCGAGGGCACTCTGGAGGGAGCTGCAGTTAAAGGTGGTCATTGCTGGCTGGCAGGACGGCCTTGGAGCCGACACAAGGGACATCAGATCATTCCAGCCAGGAACGGAGGCAGAAAGAGCCCCAGGGTTCCCAGGAAGCAGACGATGATGAAGAGCCAGAGGAAGATCCTGTCGATGACCATGGCAACACACTTCCAGTCTTCTCTCACCTTCGGGAGAAATAGGCTCACAGTGACAGAGGCCAGGCCTCAAGAAGTGTTCCTCCCATGCTCAGCCCCTGTAGGGACAACCACAGGGCAGCAGCAGCTGCCCCCTGAGACCCGAGGGGAAGCTAAGACTGGCACAGGTGCAGAGATGGGGTGGAGGGAGAAACAGAGCTGGCCCGAGCCCCATACCACCCTCTCCTGTGTCCCACCCATCTCACCCTCCACACT